GAGTGATCTTGCAGTGGTATGGTTTTTTCTAGGTAGAAACCCGTGAAAGTGGTGACGGGTGCGAACAGTAAGTAAATAAAACAAATCATCAAGATCAAAGTTATTTTTTGTTGATGTGTCATGTTCATGAAAATGTATTCACTGTTACCAACCGAAAGAGAGTGATATACCGTTCCGATTCAAATTTCGGACGATTCAAATTTCGGACACTTTCATTTTTAATTAATTATTACATCCAGTTAGAAACAAAGTAATAATGTTAGATGATCGTGGAGGGCACTAGTCAAAAAAATTTAAAATTTACAAGACATGTGGATCATATTCGACCGAGATAATCAACTTTTAAAAGTGTCCGAAATTCGAGTTTAAGTGTCCGAAATTTGAATCGGCACGGTATTTTCATAAACATTGTTTCGATTTTGAACAAAAAAGTGCTTTAAAATTATTGAAAGTGACGGCGGTTCTTTTCTACTTAACAGCGCAGCAGCGAGTTCAAGCTCTTGGGGTTGTGAATGATGTCACGGAAAGGGCGGAAAGGCGCCAAGAATCCCGAACAACATGAATACCTACTGCAAGTTGTGGAGTACCACCGAAAAATGAAGCCGATGAAATATTAAAGTCTGAGCAGCAGCACATCGACTGATAAGGTTTGAATAAAATGTGCGCCAAAGCAAATACACCCTTGTGAAAAATCACGCTTGTTTCCAAATGACCCCCGTGAAACATAATTGTTGTACTATACCGGGAACCTGTGTAAAGTTTCATCAAAATCGAAGATTCTTCGGCTTTCCTCCATGCTGAGTGAATCCCCACACAACGTCACTGCGTCGCGCAGACAGCAGCAGGCGGCAGTTGGCAGTGCTGCTAGAAAAAAAGAATAATGAACAGTTCGTTTGGTTAGCAATCAGTAATGGCTAAATAACTTTTTCCACGAGCATCGGATCGTTTTGCGGTTTTTGAAGAAAAGCTTCCTTGTTAAATTTCGTAGGGAATAGTTGGGATGATTTATTTTTAGAGAACAATGGGTGACCTCACGAGATTTTTATTTGAAAAAGTAAGTTTTCCCATAGAAAATCCTATGTATAATTAAAACCGCTGGCGCTAAAATATAGTTCCACCGACCGACCTGAAATTTTACACTATTATTCTAGGAACTATAAGGCGCCCGGAAATCATACTGGAAGTGGAATTTGAATTTTGTCCCACCCTATTGGGCAGTGCTCTTCTCAGAATTCCCTTGGAATGTTGATTAATCCCCCTTATTCTGCGAGTCACGTGACTCTCTGTCACCGGTGAGGTGACAATTGTCACCTCGTGTGAGGTGACTCTCCATGTAAATCAAATGGAGAGTCACCTCACACGAGGTGACTATTGTCACCTCACCGGTGACAGAGAGTCACGTGACTCGCAGAATAGGGGGGAATATAACTACGTAGGTAGTTTAAAAGGGGCCTCAGATAGCCAAGTCAGCAAAGGAACGGAGGTGGCGGATTCGATTCCCGGTCCAGTCTAGAATATCTTTCGGGTTGGAAATGTTCGCGACTTCCCTGAGCATATGGCTCAGTATAGTGTGTCCCAGAAAGTATAAGCACAGTTTATTATTGGAATAAATCAACGTTATGTTAATGAACTCAATCTTTAATCAATATTAATCTGCTCTGTTGTGCACATTTGTTTTGGTTCGTGATACTTAGTCTTTCCGTTTTTAAGTTCCGTTACAATCCACTGATCTTTCCGGTTTGGTGATCTCGTCAGAATGGTGGTGGATGTCATCAAGCTTCCCGAAATCCTCGAAGGAAAGGGTGAACCAGTGAACGTCCTGTTCCAAAGCGACAAAGCGGCACCCTCTGTGGAGAAAACTTTCAAGATTGCCCAGAGACGGTGGGTATGTTTTCCACTAGTTTGGACCACATAAATAGCATGAGAGGGAAGGTGAGCACCCATGCAGCTAGCATCGGTGGGGATGTGATCAGTGCTTGTTGCTTGTTATCATGATGATGAAGGTGGTGGTAGCTGCGTTCATGGTGACCGAAGATCCGTTGAATTGATGAGCTGAAAGTGTGTCCACTCCATCTGCTGGACAGATGCCTGCTGCCAATTTGGAGTATGGGTAAAATCTGCTTTGTTCGGTTGTTCCAGCCAAACCTTCCGTCGCTTTCAGTATCCTTCCACTTCCATGCTGTACAATCCAATCAAAGCATTGTAAATTATTTTAATGTTGACGTTTTACAGTCCATGAACCCAGGATTCGAGAACAGGTTCACGAAATAGAGATTTTCACGTCCGGTTGTATTGGTGCGATACGTGAGAGGGTGTTAGTTAAATCCGAGGAAAATACATAACAAATCGCTGTCAAACTCATTTTGACAGATCAAATTTCATACATTGTTTAGGTTAGTCAGAGGAAAATAATAAACAACTTTACACGGTGATGCACCCGCTAGTGTGCGTGCGATAAATGTCACTATTCTCCACACTACGAAAAAGTCATGTAAATTTCGGTTTCCTGAGACCGACACATGTAAGCGGCTCTTTTGATATGCTTATGTTTCGGTTTGAGAACTCTTAATTTTACATTAACTGTTTGTTTACGTTCTATGATTTACGTTCCATCATTTACGTCCAATATGGATTGCGTCTCGTGTAAAAGTAGTTATTACTTTGTGTGTCTATTAAGCACAACTCATGAACTTTAATCACGATTACCAGAACAATATCATGATTTTCAGAACAGAGTTTACGATTCTATGACTTTTGTTACCTTTGCTGGTGCCCGATGCAACGTAGTGCGGGCGTTACGTTTATATTGCGGACCAGTGTTCATGATTCCATAACTTTTATTCATGGTGTGGTTCGTAAACTTGTTCCGAAAATCGTGACTTGAGGTTGAAGAATTTCGGGACTTTTTTTTTCGTGTATGGTCAGTCACTTGTACTTCGGTCAATCGTTAGGTTTACGGGCACTTGTAGCGTTGGTGGCTTGAAATTTCAAATAGGTGGTGATGTAGCATGACGACAGCGGTAACTCTTTTAGCTTCGGAGTCGACAGCGGAGCTGATTAGAGTGCAGAGTCGTTTGGGAATACATTCACGGGACAGGCCAAGTAGGACACAAATGGATTCCGAGTATCAAAACTGGCCACTACAAGACACAGGAGCAACGCCAACTGAACTACGCCGACTTCTTGCTGTGCACCGTGACTATCCACACATGAGTGTCGACGGAAAGCAACCGTGTGCGGTAAATGAGAGAATGCTGTGGCTTCCATCCCTTTCCTGCCGCAGCAAGAAGATTCACCGAGTTTTATCCAAGAATTGGACAGCTGTATGGACTTCTACGAGTGATTTTTTGGTTTCCTGTGATTCATAAAAAGTGCTGACGTGATGTTAAAGGTAAACAAATAAATATCTAGTGTTAAATACAGTCTATGAACCATGTTCCCGTTTTTCAGAACTAAAAATCATGATTTCCAGAACAGAGTTTATGTTTCTATGACTGTTGTTGCCTTTGTTGGTTCCTAGAGCAGCATAACGCAGGTGTTACGATTATTTTACAGAACAATGTTCATGATTTCATGATTTTTATTCATGGTGTACTTTCGTGAACGAAAAATGACTGCTTCCTTATCGTTTTCAGTCCATTTCTTGTCTTGGCACGTTGGACGTTACTTTTCGATGTTCTATGTATTTTGGCCAAATCTCGAACAGAGGCACTTTCCTTATTGACGAAAGCTTGGTGATGTTCTGGTCCTCTTTTCGGTCCACCGGTCCGAAGGTAACTTCTGTACCGAACTTCCGGATGGCGGTACTTATTTCATCCATTTTTTTCTAACTTACTTACTGATTGGTTGGGAAACGTGCATTATTTGTGCACGATCTGTTTGTGCTTTTCCCGGCCTCGCATTTTAATGATTTTATTTTAAAAAAATGCACATTGCGTACACAAACTTGTTGAGCAATAAGTAAAAAACAACACACATCGATGAACAGCTGATAAACTTCATCGGAGTACAAATGGTGACGAATTGCAAGTGTCCTTATACTTTCTGGGACACCCTATAGTTTTATGGGCTGGATTTTTCATATAATTGAGTGCTACGTATTTAAAGTGTTTTAAATTAAATTATAGGGGTTCCTGGGTTAAAATGCACCAGTTAAGCTAAAACATGTATTTCTCTCTACTAAATGTGCTTGTCAATCAATCTTTTATCCTGTCCTAAACATTAAAGACTTAATTAATTGATAAATTATTCATTAGGCATCAAAACCTTCAAAAGAAATAATAAAACATTAGCTACAGAAACCGCTCAAAGGGGTAAAATGCACCCATATAAGTGTAAAACGCACTACAACAAAGGGGCAAGATACACCATATAGAAGGGGCAAAATGCACCATAACAATGGGGCAAAATGCACTAAAACGTTGGGGCAAAATGCCCCAATTCCAATAGCGAAATTTTCCTCAAGAATGTCAATCACGGAAAGATCTCTTTATGCAGTTTAAATCATAAATGGGATTCCACAACTTCATCATGAACAGTTCAATATCAAATTCATTTATTGCAACATCAAATAGTAAAAAAATAACATTAAAAAATATAGTGGCCGGGCCACATGTATTCATTGAGCAGAGTAGTTGTGAACATATTTGCAAGTGCCACAAGCTTCCAAGTTTGCAGAACATGCTGAATGGAACCATTCTTGACAGTGCTTGCACTTTGACCATCCTTTACCGTTTCCCGAAACCGGAAAAGCATTTCCACAAGTGAAACATAGTATATCATCCACTTCATCAGTTATGAGAGCCTGCTCTTTGCGACCGGCGCACTTGCGCCCTGATTTCTGAATATTCTTTATATCCTTCAAAACAGTAGCCTCAATCAAATTTTTGCGATGCGGTGAGGATGTCAGTTCAACAGCATGCTCTTTTCTCGAAGCAGTTTTCTTTCGTCGATTAACCGTTGGTTTTTTGGCCACTAAACTTGGAGAAATCGGAAAAATGTCAAATTTTTGACATTTTGTTACGGGCGTTTTGGTCCCATCGGCCGATTTTGGCTTGGCAAAGGTTCGGATCAGAATCTGAACCAGTCAACAGGCGCTTGGTACCACTCCTCTTAAGCTTCATCTTTCCATCCTCCGTTTTGGTATCCTGCGGTAGAGGCGGGATGTTCTCCTGTTCTTCCATTAGTTCTGTTGATTCAGTAAGTGTTTCGTAGTCAGCCGGAGCACCTTCATCATGCTGACCTCTGATGAGCTCTGCACTTTCAGGGTTGTTTGGCTCCATAGAAGGTTCACCGAACACATCCGTTTCAAAAGATGTCGTGTTTTGCTCTACCTGATCTGAATTTATGATGATGGAATACTGATTGGAGACTGGGCCAATGATAATATCTCAATTGCTTCGAATAACGTAGCATTCGTTTTCATCTATGTGATCAATGGTAAAAGTATCAGCTGGCATGTTCATGTTCCAAATCCTGTGAGGTGGATACTGGTGTTCTTTCAAAATTTCTCCAAGAAGATCCAAATATTTGCGTACACTGGAACGGTTGAAACCTGTGGCTCTTGCCAGCGATGTGTTTTCCGCCGAACGTAATGTGAGGTTCGAATGACGTTTAAGGAAACACTTCAGCCAGTCATATCCAGCAAGTCTCTCCGATCGATTGAATGGGTGTGGGATTTGATCAATGTCGGCCAATTCAAATACCAGACTCCTTACATTCCTCGGAGAAATCCCATAGAAGCCCTCACTCATGTTAACAATGTGATTCACCAATTGCTGCTCTTGTTCCTCAGTAAACACTGATGCGAAACTTCCCAAACTCGGAAAGGAAGAGGATTTGCTGTTTTTTGAAAGGTAGCGGAGAGTTTTCTTCGGAATGCCGTATTCTCGAGCAGCATAATTCTTCGATACTCCGTTTTTACAGCCTCAAGGGCAGTTGGTCACTGGGCCATGACCGTCGATTTGACTTCCGGACGTAGTTTCGGACAATCGCTGAGGAAAAAATTGAAACGTAAACAAACTTTGTTTACCAAATGATCATTTTGCCCTGAGCCTAGGAGTCCATTTTGGCCCATGAAAGCATAATTACATTTTTGATCAGGAAATAGTAGCAAAAACTCACCGATAACGTATCACCAATAGTTAACACGAGCCTTTATTCACTAGACTTTGACATCATCCGATATTCAATAAAATTTTTATTGCCTTAACCAACTGGAGCAAACAATTGCACCTCAACGGAAGTAAATCGTTTTTTGCTTTTATTTACGTTTTCATTTTTCGTTGAGCTGTCAAATCAATAGGGTGAATTTATCAGGTCGGGTATTTTTTTCATTGTAAAAATGTAAATTTCATGTAAAAATAAACAAGGTGCATCCTGCCTCACCAGTGCATATAACCCCAGGCACCCCTAATCTTTCTAATCACCAATTGAAATTTACCATCTACCCTGCAGAATTACTCCTTAGTCCGCCTCTCTCAAACAGCCCCGATTTATTCCAAATGAACTCCACTGGCGCTGTTCTCTCACCACCCACCGAAAGCAGGAAAATCCTCCCAGCTCTTCACTACGGCACAGTACCAAAACAGAGAGTCCACCACCCCATGTCGTGCCACACAGTCAGTCGGGCAAGCTCTCTCGCCGTCTACTATTATCGTGTCTCCTGTGGTAGGTAACCGGAAAATCTGACCGAGCTTTTCCAGCATTCGTGTAGGATCCTTTGCCGCTGTTTGGGATCGCTCGCTTCGCCAGCACAGTCTTCTGTCTGCGTTCGTCGGTTGCGGTCGATCTAACGAAATTCTCTCACTCTCTTGAGGTATATTTTTTTTAGTCGGTGTGTGTTTGGAAAAGCTACCAGCTGATGAGGAGAGCCTCCTTGCGTGTCTAGAGTGTGTTTTGGTGATTGAGAGCCAGCACATTTCATAAAGCCGCCACTATTTTCTCGGGTCTCGGGATTTAGGTTTGAATCGACACTGCTGTGCTGATGGTGGTGATGGTGATGACGTGTGATTGAACGAGGGAAGGGGGTGGCAGCGGTGGAGGATAGTAGAAAAATAACACACTAGAATGAACCAATTTTTCCGTGGAAATTGAGTGAAGTATCGTGCGGTGCGCGCTCAGGGTCGCATTGGATAGAGACCTTTTCTACTGTGCCGGTCTTCTCGGAAGTGCCGGAAGACGTGCCGTTGCTTGTCCGAAACGTTTTTGTGCAATGCTAACCAGTGAGGAAGAATGCTGAAGAGAAGAGCGGCTATTGATTTCTGAACCTCGTTCGTTAGAAGATTTGATACTTTTTGTGTGTGCATAGCCGGAGTCGGGGGATTTGAAAGAGCGGTTCGTTGGGATTTTGATGGCAGAAATCTGTGGGGTTCGTTAGTCGGTCGAAAGGAAAATTTGACACGAGGTGAAGCAAGGTGGAAAATTATCAAATTAACAGCCGCCTGGAGCTGTGTGCCAGTAGTGTTTGGGGAGGAAGTGAGCGAATTTCTTACTGGATTTTCGGTGTAACTTTGACACCCTCGCGGAAAGTTTGCTAACTTCCACCAACGACGTCCTATTTCGTCAGTTTACTTACGGTGATAATCCACATAAATTCTGATTACGTGCGGGGCCTTCCCGTTGTGTTTGAATAGAGCTTGGCTATCCCCGTTGTACATATTTACCATCCCAACGGTGGACGGGAAGAAGATCGACGAGTGAATGTGTATGTGAAGTGTGAGTGCTTTTCCTCAGCCCAGACGGAAAAGGTGAAGTTTTCTGTTCTCGTACCCCGATTCTTCCGTTCTGTGTTTGTAATCTCATAAAATTGTAATAACGAGAAAATGAAATTTACACGTTCCAGCGCCACCATTACGTATGGGGCAGGAAGAATAACGATGAAATAGAATTACTACCAAATGTGATATAGAAGCAGATGATTAATGTGCATATCGTTTCACCCGGCTCAGAACAAGCATCCTTCGGCAAGCGCAGATCTGGCGAGTAATTTCGTCCCCGTTCCAGTTAGCAAAAGGATACGAACGAATCAATTTGACATCCCGTGAATCCAGTGCCCCAGAAAAGTAAGTTAATTACGAATTTATCTCTCTGTTTACGTAAGGCCAATTATTTGAAACAATTTTACGATCTGACCGTCTGCATCCCAAGAGAAACGTACCTCGACCTCCGGTGGAGGTGAACCTTTCAGTCTTATTTTTTCGAACATTTCTGCTTCAATGGTTGGGCTGCACCTACCGTCGTCGTCGTCGTCGTTGGTGGTGGACGTCGTACATATGCCATGACGGCTCTGACGGTGTGCTCTCTTTTCGTGATGCCTCAGGGAAGGGAACCGTGGTGCATATTTAAGGAGAGTAATCTAAATAAATTATTTCCATAAAAGCTTGAATAAGCAGTGGTTTATCGACGTGCATGGGTGGCCCTCGCTGAGCTGGCACCTGAGGTAGAGAGGCTCAATAAATTCAAAGCCCTTGGGGTGGAATACTAAGCTTATTTTTTATATCATTATTAGGCATACGTATACAAATGTTATTAATGATGCGTATAATATGAAGACTGTTAGAATTCTGCACATTATTCAATTTTTATAACGCATGAAAATGATTATTATTATTGTTATTATTATTATTATTATTATTATTATTATTATTATTATTATTATTAAAGTCACTTTAACACTCTTGGGCCATTCGTGAGATTTGAAGTCGTGACTTTTACGTGAGAGGTATGGATGTTAACCACTAGACCAGGCCGTCCACCTGCTTGAAATTATAATGAAGACTATTATTTAAAAAAATTAAAGTTACTGTGTTACTATGCTTCACATAAATAGATCGTGTATATTTTTTTCCTTGATTTGTTTTTCGTCGATCTTGTTTTCCGTGCTGAGCACCAATGCTACCGACGCCAGGGAGGCAGCTCCCACACCTGGACCCTACTTATCGACCCATCAATCAACTCATGAACCGGGGACCAACGGCTTTACTTCCCTTCCGGAGGACATCCCGGCGGCGCCGACTGGTATTGAACCCAGGCCTACTGGGATGAGAGGTAATCACTCTTACCACTACATCACGGGCGCCGTGGATCGTACATCTTTGTTAACATAATTTCTTGCAAGTTTCTAATTTACGGAAAAGGAAGTTGGCATCCATGCATATTCACATCACCATTAAAATTCAGAATTTCTTACTGTGTATTATTATGTCATCAAATTCAATTGTATTGCTCATGATAATTTTTCCAGATTTAAAAGATAAGGTAGTGAGAACAAGGATACGTGGGTACGGTGGATAAAGCTAATACAGCATTCCTTCGAAGAACGCGTTACCCACTGAGTTATAACTCACCGCTTTTTTTCGGCTGGTTTTCAACCAATCGCTCAGGTTTTCTGTGTATGACTTGTTCTCAATTAACACTACTCACATACAGGGGTTACTCAAAATAACTAGGATAGGCAAATTTTTGGATTACTTTGGTGGTAAAAAATTCATATTTTTAGTAAATACACAGAGAGAAGATCTATTTCCAAAGTAAATGATATGCTAGAAACTAAAATCGGCCTACAATAAACAGAGATATGGTCATTTCCCTGGAATCGTTTCTGATGGAGGGTTCTGAATGCGGTCAGATCTTTAAATCACTCAAAAAATGCCGTGTGACAGCTCTTTCTTCATAGTTCTTAATCAATAGGCTTTGAAAAAGACTTTAAATGCATAACTGATCACATTAGCCGCTCTTGGAACCTCCGGGATGCCCCCGAAGGAACCTGTAGTAGTACATACTGACTGGTTGAAAACCCACCGTGCAGTCTGCTGGGGATAGCTTATAAACATTAATTTACATCATCCGTTAATAGATATCGATATTTATCGGTATTTCAATTTGTTTACTAAAATCGACTGGCGGAGATCGAGGGAGGTGCTAAGATGTTAGGGACGGTGATTGCATGTTATAAGGGCACTGTACATAAGGGGTTGATCGTGACTGTCCGAAAATACATATCTTAACGAGATTATTGATTGAGTGCATGTTGCTGTTTTCATCTCTATTTCACTGCATCCTGACAACCGAAAGAAATTTTTTTTTTTAATTTTGCCTTTATTTCGAATTTGATATTTCTTTCTGTTCTGACTTTAAAGCATCTCATTGTTATTGATCCGATTGAAATAGATTTGAATTCAACGATAAACTAGATTATAATTATGAGCAAGGACACACAGCATAGTGTGTTGTATCTGTTATAATAGTTTCCATCCTGCATATGAAAGCGTGTTTAATTTAATTTAATTATGAATCTGTGAAAAACGTTTACTCGGGTAGCCCTATTTTTGACGGATATGAATTAATCCTACTCACATTTACGATGTTTAGAAACTGCGGGCACCAACGCTGCATTTGCCCAGAAACCGAACTATTCGCGTAACCTTGGGCTATATATCTAACATCTTGGTCAATACATCATCCTTATTTCTACAGTACCTATCAGAACTGGTACACGGGAATAAATCCGTTCCGAAATTCTGTGAATCTCAAGTCACCAATTTCGGATTTTTTTCATTTACAGTTTTCGTTAAGTGTAGCTGCTCCAACTAGAGGGATCTCAGCAGTAATAAAAAGGGCTACGTCCACTTTTCACCACCAATCACTTGCAGTACACAGTCTAGAAGACGCAGCACCAGATCACCAACGTTAAAATCAGAACCGACAACTCCAGCGACCGAAAACAAACGCGTCTAATAGCGGTCACGGCACACTTCGATTGCATTTCTGAAACACACCTCAACGCACAAAAACGACGACGACAACATTCGAAGGTACGTGAGTAAATCGGTTATCATATCTTTTGCCAGTAGTGGCGGGGGGAGTTACCCCTCACCATCCCTCACCAAGAGGGGAGTTTAGTAAAGGAGAAGAATAACCCGATTCGTACCTTCTTCAAAATGGACCTTTGCTCGCTTTCTATTCTCTATATACAATTTTTACACTGCCGTATTCTAACGGAACTATGAACTCAATACATTCATATCCTCATCTATTGTATAAAATGAACACTTCGGGTCTGATATCTGACGTTAAGCATCTCCAACTATAAAAAATCAAGGGTTGAACACATATTCCGCTCATCTAGAACATCTGAAAAAAAAAATCCGATTATTAAAAAAAAAAAGAAATCTGTGATCTGTATGTCATAAATCTGTATATAAATCTGTATCAAAGTATAGAAAAAAAATTGTATGATAACAGATAAATCTGTATATGTGGCATCACTGCGCGAAGCGCCAGCATGCAGCAAGGAAAAGAAAGAAAAACAGATGCACACACTGAGCACGGCACGAGCTGAACTGCTAACGTTGAAAGCCAAACGTGCACTAGGATTGGTCGATCTTTGGGAGATGGATCTATTCTAGTTCCGCAAGCAAAATTGTTCCTCCAACCTTTTACTAAAGATCTCCCAATCCTAACGTGAACTGAAATCGGGTATGGACGAGTGCACCGATGAATTTGTGTTCATTCACTCGAAAAAAGTGACACAACCTGCGGGCAATGTTTACTAATCGTGAACACTAAATTTTCATTGTTCATTATTCATGAACATTTAGTGTTCATGATTAGTAAATATTGCCCGCAACTGGTGTCACTTTTTCTCGAGTGAGTGAACTCAAATCCATCAAATATCGATCACCTAAATCGCGATTAAGGTTTTATTAACGGAGATAAACACCCATATTGATCCACCGGGAAGGCGAATAGAACCTTTGTTACACAGTATTATCTCGTTTTTGATATTATCCATAGATAGACGAGGCCTTAATGGATATTTTATTTTAAGCCTTTTTTACCGGGACTTAGCCTGGTTAGTAAGATAAGCTACCTGAATGCAGTGTTGCCTCATTTTTTCAAGTTTCATTCTGTGTTTTCATAGCAAAAAATCTTGTTAATCTGTATCTGGCTGACAAAAATCTTAAAAAAAAATATTGTTTAATTTCTTTTTCAAGTGTAGAATCATGAAAAATTACTAAAGCTTTTAAAGAATTAATTAAAGAGATTTGAGACTGAAATTACAAAAAAAAAGTTTCAATAGTGAGCGACAAATCTGCTTCTGACTTAAAATGAAGTAACAATCACGTTTCTCAAGAATTTTATTATTTTTATGTCTGAGATAATGAAAATCTTTATCTGGCCATTGTTTTTTTTAACTCTGTAATCCTTCTTTGTTCTTTCTAATATTGTTTTCTAATATGACGCTATTAAAATTTCAAAACTTACAGTTGACTCTTAAAGAAAGTTTGCTAAAATGGCCTGTTTCCAATTTGTAAAAAAACAATAATTAACCATTGTGTCGGTCACCATGTGACATGGTGAATTAAACAATAAGAATGGGAATTTATTATTGCTCCCAACGAGAGATCTGGACTCAAGACATCTGAACATCAGAAGTACCCGCAAAATTATTGAAGATAATACAATACCACAGGCAAACAGACGTAACTCTTCATTGTGTATCTTCGTTCATGCATTTAACGGTTGATTTGAATATTATCAGTTCCGCGAACTACTCGCCGCAGCGCTGGCATTGGATCACTTTGACGTTTCTATACATTATATCAAACTTGTATGCAATATTGTTTGAGACTTGGCGAGCAAGCTTGTTTTCCGTGAGAAGCCAGAGAGATGTCGTTACTGAGGTTATATGTTTTGAGATATTATGTTTTCAAGAACAAGTTTTTCAAAGAGTTACGTCTGTTTGTCTGTGACAATACTATTTTATTTAGTGAAAAAAAAAATTGGATTTAATGAGTGTAATCATGCTGCTCAAAAGGAAGAATTGATTATTTATTTATTGGAATAATTGTATTAAACAATATATTAAATATATTTCACTCATTTGGAAAATCTGTATATTTTTAAAAAATCTGTAATCTGTATATACAGATATCTGTATCAACACATTGAAAAAAAACTGTATGATTACAGATAAATCTGTATATGTGACATCACTGCCTGAATTTCAATCCAATTCGTGATGTACCAGTTTTGATAGCGATTGTAAGAATAAGAATGATTTATAGACCAAGATTTAAAGTTAATGTTACACTTATGAATATATTGACAAAAAATAGGAGATATATTGTCAAAAGTATTGATGATATAAATTTAAATTGCCATTATTATTGCCAATCTCCAAATATTGAAGAAAAAGAAATTGAATACGATTATTGTGAATATATTGACATGTGTAACGTCCGCTTTAGATGCTTAGCCCAAGGTTATGCGATTTGCTAAGTTTATGCACGGGTGTTAGCTATTTTTTAACAAGCCAAATTTAAGTAGGATCTACTCATATCTGCCAAAATTGAGTAAACAAAATTGGGACTGACAAAAAGAAGAATGAACAACATCGAACTGAATCCGAATGTTAATTTGTTATCTTGTCAGTTACAACCTCCAGGTTTTTCCAGGAAAAAAATATCAAATATTAGAAAAGCAAACTTTGGATTCTCTCAGTTTATTGGTACTACTCCTAAACTGAGTAAATTTTTTATCAATTTTTAACATTTTCCGGCAGATTTTTTAGGTTTTCCACATGAAACCATGTGGCAAATTTACTCATCGCAGAGTTCCTGCACTTTTTGAGTATGAGAATCATAACGACCACACTAAACATAATGCCTTTCCTTGACTTAAACAAAGGGATTATTAGACACGCAGGTATCAACCATATCGATTGCATAAGCTATCTCGGAAAAGGCTTGCCTAGATGAAACGTGTCCACAGATGCATATAATTTCTGCTGGGTCGTCTTTTCATATTCAATTTGATTCTACGGTGTCGTAATCAAACTGTCGAGCCAGGTCGAGCAGAGATCTATCGATTGGGAATGTTTTATGCGGGTGAGATAGCTTGTGTGGATGGCTATCGGTCACAAACGGCAAGAGGTGTGAAATCCGATTCTTACACCTATGTCAGATCGGCATCCATGTTGATGGAATGTACCGTTGATTTTAAAAAAAAATCAGTAACTAAAATCATTATGCCCTGTATATCTCCGGAACCGAAAGTCAGATTGGTATGATTTTTTTTTTCTATTTACACACGCAAACCAAAAATCTATTACAATGAATGTTAGTTCCGTTTCCTATCATCCTCTGTTCATGAACATCGCAACGAATGTTAGAAATTGACCATGCAGGCGATGTAATGGTTTTTTGTCTTTTTTTATTTCGTGTTCCATCTACGCTTTCGACTATACCAGTAAGCTTGTAGAACGACGTACATTGTAGAACATTGTAGAACGACGCACACACGTAACTCGAATCTCTCCAGCAGAAAAAGCATACGAAGTCGAGCATGCGAGAAAATGAGCGCTTCATGTTTGGTTTTAGGCTGACCATATTTAGAAGCATGGAGAGAGCAGTAGAGAAAGCACAGGTCTGATAGTCGCAACGTCCGTGGTTCGAGTCCAGTCGCCAACCTTTTTTCTATTTTTTTCGACATAATTAATTTCACTCACTAATACAACTCCACATTTTTCGGTCTCCAATTTTCTTACATCGGACCGCACCTAGGTATATCGCATCCTCGGTTCATGCGGTCTCCACTTACATCCTCTGATGATGAATCCCACATAATTGTAAGCGAATCTTACATCCACCGGTTGGGTGCAGGTATATGTTGATAAGATCTTTCCATTGTTAAAAATTTCATGTTGATCGAACCAAAATTACGGGAAAAATCTGGTAAATGAACTTCGAACACCTAATCACCCCTAAAATTGCGATTAAGGTCATATTAATAATGAGATATATGGGTTAAAAGGTTTGGAAAACCCTTATGATGAGTAAGGTCAAATTTACGGAAAAATTGTGTATAAAACATTTTGTACATCTAAATACCCTTCAAATCGCGGATATGGCCACATTATCTTTGCTACACTTCGTATAACTAACTTTAAAGAGAGCAATTGAAATACCAAAACAATGCAACCCAGGTATTCTTTTAGTATCCATATATCAATTGTTGTTATTTATCAAGTATTTTGCATGCAATTTTTTTGTATTATTCTTTGGTATTTTCATTTTTATGTCATGCTGATCAATACCAAGCTTTGGTATCAGATCAGAATTGGGTATTCATTAGTTATTTTCTCCTGATCGGGTTAGGCTAATCCATACCAAGTTAAGGTGTCGAGATATTTGTTCCTGCTCGGGCTTCGCATTTGTACTTTTGCAAATTCAATCCCGGTTTTCTAAAAAAAAAAGTACGTGTTACAAAAAATCTACATATTAGTACATATTAGAATTCAACGAGGCAATTTAATTCATTGCCTTTGGTCGAAGGGCGTAAAACACTGTTGACTAGTGATATCAAACTTCACGAAGTTCTACAGGTTCAAATAGTCAGTCGAATCATTATAGAATATCTTCAAACTCCTGGCACTATTTATAGAAAACCTAAGAAATTTTTCCAAATTAATTTTGAAAGTACGGGATCGCGGACAGGACACAATTTTATTTCACGATAATCATGATAATCATGTAGAATATTGGGCAAATGATGTTGTATAAAGTAGCTTCAAAAATGATGTTCCTGACTGTTACCGATGCTTTTTTATACTTACACTTGAAATCATGAAAAATTTTATGTCGTTGAGTGTTGTTGGACATTTTTATAATATTTAAATTGGTGTGTTTTGGCTTTTAAATCACTGTACATTAAAAGTGAAGTCGATAAAATTTGTTGGTGTATTCAGAAAAGTTATGGATAAAAACTTTCTGCAACATACCGTATTAATAAAATATGAATAAAATATTACATAACTCGAAAAACCAGTTTTAAGGTAGTCTTGAGAGAAAATCCGATCAATCTCATTTGTCTCCAGACATAGAAACTTTGTATCTTGAACAAAGTTTCTTAAACTATCTAGTTCTACAACTTTGCCCACGACATAATACGTCTATCTCAGTTACGTAAAAGGTTAGATTTTCTCAGTTTAATACCCGCTTAGTAAAAAAAAATCGGTGTATATTTAAAAGAAAGTGGATCACCATTCCAAACAACTTCACCAACTTCACACACCCTCAAAAACGTCAATGAAGATGAGAATAGACTTTTGACCGTTTTTTTTTCAGAACGGTTCCACTGTGCTGTGGTCCAAAATCAACGAAATTATAAATTATGTGTGTGTGTGTGTGTGTGTGTGAGTACAATCCATCGCCCTCTGTACCGGCAGAGTTTTTATGGAAGAAACTTATCTGCATTTTCTGTATGTCGAATGTGCAAATATTTTTAGCCCTGGAGATGGAAGTTGACAGCTCTATCGTACATCAAACGACCCATTTCAAGAATGCCTGTTTCTGCACGTACATTCTGAGGTCATTTTCTGATACAATAAGCCCCGCAAAAATACACAAGTGTATTCTCACTTCCATAATAAAAAAAAACTTCTTATTCTGGCACGTATTTAGTTATAAAATGATTGGGATATATGTGTAGAATAAAATAACAAGCAAGTGTACTTATCTGGTTGTTCCAATGTGATGAGTGAGTCTCCATCGTACCGCCAATCTGCGCCGCAATTTCCGCGTACTTTTCCTTGCGGAAATCCTTGCGCGCATCGTCCAGCAAAACATTGTGCAGTAAATTCCGATTCTGGTACAAATTCTGCACCAGCGAAGGATACGGATTCCCCCGCAGCTCCAGTACCGCGCGCTTCCGATACCAGCCGAGATATTCTTTCGGTGCCTTGTACATCCGCGTGGCGGACACTTTGTACTCTTCGAACCTGGGCGCCAGCACCTTGAATAGCTTGTGCACCAGCTGCTTCTCCGTCAGCCAATAGTCGGCTATTTCCATCGTCGGCTTGTGGCAATCCCCGTACCGGATGGCATCGGAGATCAGCCGCTCGGCGTAGCCCCGCGCTTCATCCGCTCGCTGGTAGTTCAGCTCGATCCGTTCGTGTTTGATCAGCGCTGTCACGGTTTTGCGAAGCTTGTCGAGCCGCCCTTCCGGTCCGTCGATGTTTTTCAAGTTTCGATGACGGGGCCGGATCGCAACCTTCAGCTGTGACATCAGCTTGACCACTTCGGCTTGGTTCATTTTTGGGTGTGTTAGCACTTTATTACGATAATTTCACTTTATATGTTGATTATTAAACTAGTGTAGGAACAATTTCCGCACTGGAAACCGGTGGTTATTCAATCGAAACACATTTTTCCCAAGACTGAGGATGAAACGAGAATCGGGGAATCACGAGAAAAAATCTTGACAGCAAAAATAAACCTGACCGTTCGCCGGCACAGCCTACTTCGTTTTTCATCAACGAAATTATAAATTATGTTTCAAAATTCGATTTTGAACGGTTCAAATCTGTAAAAACTAAATTTGTATGCTTGTGGCCAAAATCAAACGTGTACTGTAGTAGTATTTAAAAAAAAAAGTAATTTTGAGTAATCTACAAAGGTTTGAGCTGCTCGCTCGTATTATGGATATAAACGACAGAATTAAACATTTGGTAGTAACAAAATGGAACTTTGAAGCTTATTTTAAAGATGCTGTGAATTAGCAGTAAGTTTTATGGCTGAATGTCGAGAGCTTGTTACCATTCCTGACATTGCTGAAAATTATGACAGCATGCGTTGTTGATTATTCAGGAATTCTCGATCGCTGGGACTGCATGTGAATATTTGTGGTGGACAAATGGGTGAACAAAGAGGTGAACGCCTATGCTCTTTCACATTTATATCGCTGTGAAGCAACTGCAAATTTATGAGGGAATTTATATCTGTAACTGTAACCAGTTCTTTTCGTTCGCTAATCTGGTAAAAATGTCATACTTAATTATCTTAGAGACAAATCGTCCAGCTCAAACCTTTGTAAGGGTTAAGTGGAGGGACCATCATCATCATCTACGGATTCTTAGAATCGAATAAGATTTCAACTCCAAGATAATTTGGAGGTCTCAAAATACTGTGTACCCCGTATTATATTATGGAGCTCTGCAGGTTTATAAATTAAATCGGGACAATGTACAATACCTTGTTGAGTCTATACATTATCAAAATCGGACCTTCAGGATGATTAAGACAATCAAGGATATATTCGAGTAGTAAATGAATACCTTCTTGAGTATTTAGAACTTCATGATCTTCGGGATGAATCAAAAATATGTTGATAACACCAGTGATAGCAAAATCATTTGCAAAATTATTTGTTAGAACTATGCGCGCGCATTGTACATTTCTTTCGAGCAAACGAAAATCGTGGAAAAAAGTATACTGTGAACCAAAGGGAAAATGTTCCGGTATCCATCGTATACCGTATCCTGGCATCGATGGCAGTAACCCGGAAGAGATGTAGCAGCGTCCACGAAGATAATGAATATGATGACGCTCCGCTCGCTGCACAACATACTCAACAATTCAACAACAAGGAATCGGTAAGCTAACGGGAAGCGGCCAGAAAGTTCCCTTGTTCGAAGTCACACATCTGCAAGACTCTAAGGAAGGATGGAATAGTGTGTATAAATAAAACCAGATCCCCAGAGTAAAGTGACGAGCAAATCCAAACCGTGAGAACTAAATGCCACTGGATACCGGAAGTACGGCGGAAAGCCAAAATATACCATATGTGTCAAAATTCAGGAATCCGACAAATCTTCCACAGTGCCATCCTATCGAGGATTTTTTCGGTCTATTATGCTCCATGGTCTTCAAGGATAATTGAAAGGCCAAGGACACCAAGCAACTCACCAATAGGATCAAAAGCTGTATCCGAAAAACCGATGTGGAAACCGTCCAACGATCATGTTCCAATATCTTGTCGAAGCTGCTCCGCACGGCGGACCACAGACCGTATGCCAATATTCACTAAGCTCAGTTTGAAGACATTAATTAACCCTTTGTTTGAAATAAACCAGTTTGAACTAAGCTTCTCTGGTTGTTTCTTCGAGAGCGTGGTTTAAAGGCTTGGACTTAAGTCGTGACTTCATTCGTGTGATGAGTAGACTTATGCCCAACCACTACTCGCTAGATGCTCATCTCAATAGAATAAACCTCGTGGACAGCAACATCTGTCGGTGTGGAAACGGTTACGACGACATCGATCACGCAGTTTGGCAATGTACGGATAATGACGCCGCCAGAGAGCGACTTTTGAATACCCTTGAGGCCCAAGGAAGACAACCCTATGTTCCTATCAGAGACGTGTTGGGAACTCGCGATATCTGCTATATGCAATCGGTTTATGTGTTTCTTCAAATGTCTAGTATAAGAATTTAATTCCTTTGTCTTTTGTCTCTCTTTAATAGTTTTTGTTTGTCTTGTCCCCCCGTTTCGATGAGTCTCATCGTCGCCCACTGGTCACCATAGCCGGTCGAACTCCAGACGAAACTAGAACCGCACTACCATTCATACTGGCGACAACACTCTGATGAGACAACGAAACCTTACCCCCAAGTTCCTCCCGTGATCCTATCCTTCGACAATGTACCTCTTTAACCTCGAGTAAGCCGCGAGTATTCGGCCCAACTCCTACTAGACATAGAATTAAGTGAATTTTGTTACAAACAAAGAACAATGAACTATCGGCTCCGTAAAGCTAACGCGATTGAGCCTACCAAATAAACGAACTAGTTAAAAAGCTTCACTTGTGTTTTTTTCCCATTATTTTCATTCTCATTTTTTAGTGGTCACCCGTTATTAACTCTGCCAATACACTTTTTATCACATTGTGTTCTAAATAAGCGATTTGACAAATGTAAAAGACGAGATATTTTACCTTAAAGTTTAACGTAAGTGTGTGAAGAGGATCCAATGGGAAATTTTTTTGTTTGGTTACACGAGAAATCAAAAAGATTGAAGATCAAAATATAGTTTTTGTTTTTCAAAAACCTTGCTCTATTTAGTTAGATGAAGATGCTAATTTCAAATAACAGACTAAAGTGGTCATTTTTATAAGATAGATGAGGAGATGAAAGTAAAGAGTTGATAGTTCCTCATCGATCGTATAAAAATGACCACTTTAGACTGTTACTTGAAATTAGCATCTTCAACTATGTAAATCGTTAACTTTACATATAAGTAATACAAACATAAACAGTTAAAGTACTTGCTTGCAGTAAAATGAAAAATTAAAAGCTATAGACAATTTTTGCTGTGCGTTCTATGAACTGAACAGTTCATAGTAACAAATCAAATTCCAAATTGTCTTTTCATGTACACTGAACAAGTAAATAAAACTCTGAAGACTTTCAGCAACGAAGCTCAACTTTTAAAGCAAGCATTCCTATTTATGAGCTTCTAAATCATTTGGAAATTCAACAACCAATAGCACCCACCGACACGAAGCAGACAGAAAAGCTTGCACTTCATAGCTAAAAGAAAAACAAAAGCAGAAATTATATTCCAAAGCACTTGGCGGCTTCTTTCGGCGAGCGCTACTTCACTTCGAGTTGTACTTTTGGTTTTTTTTCGCATGGGTGCTTATGTGCGATTCAAAAGTGTGTTCCCATTCATTTTTCACAACTTTATTTTCAATTTGTTTGGCTTTCTTCGACCTCCGCGTGCTCTCAAGCAACTTTCTTAACTTCCAACAAGCTACTTTCAGAGTGTGAATACCGTCCAAAGTGGGCTTCTTCCCATGCCTGCTAAAACAATACTCTACACCCAAACGAAAAATCTAAGATTGTATTACAGATTTGCATGAAAAGTATGCAGAATTTGCGATGTTTCGTAACATGATTAGATTGTGTAATGTGGTCACTGGATGGTTTTTAAAATAATTCCGTAGTTTTTACGTTATCTTATTTCTTGAACTAAGGGTTTTTATAAAATATGCATTCTGGAAAAACTTGCTTGTACGCTGCAGTCTATTGTATGAAGTGCCATGACATTTGTTGTATCAAACATCTGCAGAGAATGCAATACATTCAACCTTACATAGGCTGTTAGAGAATTTGATTTGTGTGTACGAATATTCTGCAATTTCATACCCTGGCTCCAGTAGACAGCGGTCGCGGCGATGACGACGACGATGACGACGGATGGTAGAGGTAGAGGTTCATTATGGCACGATAAAAGACGCGCACATGCCAGCTGATTGGTTTGTTGGTTTTCGCACTTTTGGAACGGGCTTCTTTGAAACTCTGAACGGGGAAACTGTTTGAAAAGTTAAATGGCTTCCAAACGTCTCGTCACAGTTTTAAATTGTTGGAAGTTTGCGACGTATGCAAAGTGAACAGCTCGGTTTTTGTTGGTGAAGTAGCATTAAGCTGGAATGCTTGAAGCTTTAAAATGGCACAGGAAGTCATGCAATAGTGGGATTAGAATGCTCTAAATCAATGAACGAGGGAGTACTCATGGAAACTTTGAATATAAGATCGTGTTGAAATTTTGATCATATAGCACGTTTAAGTTTGACCAGAAATTTAGACTGTAGCTCAACAAATTCTTTAAATAAATTCTAAAGAAAGCTGCCTGAATGCCATGAATTGCATGTCATTCGTTAAATAAACAATACCTGATTCATGGGATGACATTTTTTATCATTTAAATCCCCTAAGACCCTTAAGGTATGTATCTGAATTGTACCGGTGAAGATGATCAATACAGAAACGCCATTGTTCGGAACAACTATACTTCAAAACGACTCAATTCTAGCAAATGTCATATCTTCACTACTCTCCAATGAACAATAACGGCTCATTAGGAAAGTTTCATCTCGAGGATAGACAACTGTTTGCATTCGCTGTCTTGCTTCGAAACTAATCCCCAAACGGAAAATGTGAATCACTCAATGCTCTTGTCTCCGGTTTCCCCATTATCCCTGCGAACAATTCCCCCATACAACCCGATAAGAACGGAATCTGCTTCGATGAGCCCTCATCATCTGTTGTGCCTGCCTTGGGTTATTGTGTTCCGAGGTTTCTGATAAAAACAATGTTCCATTTTCTCCAGCACACAAACGGGAGCCGGTTGGGCTCACAGAGTATATGTATTGTCATCTTTCGGTGCAGATAAAATAAGCAGCATCTACATTCACCGAAGCCATTATCTTTCCCGGCGCCGTTCCTTGGTTCCCTGCATGGCAAACAAAGCCAGTGAAATACCTCGGAGTTAAAGTTCTGTTGATTTTGTTGCTCCTACTTCATCGTCGTCGGTGGTAC